TCAAGTATTGGGTATAAAAATCAAATTCAGTGAAAACGAGAAGGAACGTGTGAGTCGCTTCTGGGGACGCGACTCTACTTATACCCGTACTCAGTCAGTATATACATTTTTAGGCATATAATTTTTTAGAATTAAAATTTACATTTTACATTTTTTTGCTACATCTGTTATCTACATCCACATCGACAATGTATATTATACATCTTACATGTACACTCTACATGTACGATTTAGATTCAGCATCTTCTCCGCTAGGGGTTGCTCGCGCACTGAACGCGGCAGAGTGTGCGAGCGAGAAAGAGAATTAGTAACGGTCTCGTTCAGGAGGGGCGGGGAAAGCAACTGAAAATGTATTTCTTCATTCTGGCTATAATTATGTTCCGATCTAATTCTGATTCGGCAATCTGGTAGATATGGGCATTCTCCACGAATACGATAGTTTTATCGTATCTTTAAAAATGTGCCTGCCACGGATTTTCGTTCTTTATGAGGGCGGAAGGGGGCGGGGCGAAATCGAGGCGCTTATCGAGACGGACAGACGGACGGACGGACAGACAGACAGACAGACATGGCTATATCGACTCGGCTATTGATGCTGATCAAGAATATACATATATATACTTTATGGGGTCGGAAACGTTTCCTTCTCTGCGTTACACACATCCACTTTTACCACAAATCTAATATACCCCTTAACTCTTTTTTGAGTACGGGTATAAAAAAAAAATTTTACATTTTACATTTTTTTGCTACATCTGACATCTACATCTACATATACAATGTCTATTCTACATCTAACATGTAGATTGTACATGTTCCATTCATATTCTATTCTATTCTATTCTATTCTATTCTATTCATATTCTGCGAGCGAGAAGGAAAATGAGTTGTGTTGTTGTGGGCAGGAGGGGGCAGGGGAAGCAACAGAAAATTAATTTCTTCATTCTGGCTATAATTACGATCCGATCTGATTCAGATTCGGCAGTCTGGTAGATATGGTCATTCTCTACGATACTGCGTTTTTAGTTTTATCGTATCTTTAAAAATGTGCCTGCCACAGATTTTCGTTCTTTCTGGGGGCGGAAGGGGGTGGGGCGAAATTTTGAAATACACTTGTAGCAGTGTGATGTCACATGAGTCTGGAAACCAAATTTGGTTGCCCTAGCTCTTATAGTCTCTGAGATCTAAGCGCTCAACAAGACGGACAGACAGACAGACGGACAGACAGACATGGCTATATCGACTCGGCTATTGATTCTGATCACGAATATATATACTTTATGGGGTCGGAAACGTTTCCTTCTCTGCGTTACAAACATCCACTTTTACCACAAATCTAATATACCCCTTAACTCTTTTTTGAGTACGGGTATAAAAACAACGAGAAGGAACGTGTGAGTCGCTTCTGGGGACGCGACTCTACTTATACCCGTACTCAGTCAGTATATACATTTTTGAGCTTATGATTTTTAAGAATTTTAGGAAAAAAAAAATTTTACATTTTACATTTTTTTTGCTACATATGCTATCTACATCTACATATACAATGTATATTCTTCATCTAACATGTAGATTATACATGTTCCAATTAGATTCTACATCTTCTCCGCTAGGGGTTGCTCGCGCACTGAACGCGGCAGAGTGTGCGAGCGAGAAGGAAAATGAGTTGCGTTGTTGTGGCCGGGAGGGGGAGGGGAAGCAACTGAAAATTAAATTCTTCATTCTGGCTATAATTATGATCCGATCTAGTTCAGATTTGGCAATCTGGTAGATATGGGCATTCTCTACGATACTGCGTTTTTAGTTTTATCGTATCTTTAAAATTGTGCCTGCCACAGATTTTCGTCCTTTGTGGGGGCGGAAGGGGGCGGGGCGAAATTCTGAAATACACTTGTAGCAGTGTGATATCACATAAGTCTGGAAACCAAATTTGGTTTCGCTAGCTCTTATAGTCTCTGAGATCCAGGCGCTCATCGAGACGGACAGACGGACGGACGGACGGACAGACAGACATGGCTATATCGACTCGGCTATTGATGCTGATCAAGAATATATATACTTTATGGGGTCGGAAAATTTTCCTTCTCTGCGTTACACACATCCACTTTTACCACAAATCTAATATACCCCTTAACTCTTTTTTGAGTACGGGTATAATAAAACCAATATGGAATCAAGCAGTAATTAAATTCTCACCCCCATCTCTCATGTTAGCATTTAGTTTTAACTAGATGTACATATTTCCTATTTGTAAATATGTTACTAAGCTAATCTCTGGTGGTACAAAATCTTACATAGTTTAACAAATATGAATCCACCAATGATTAAAAACAGGAACCGTACCAAAAATGAATTTGACACAAAACTGTATTCAGTTATAATTTTAGCTTTTAATTTTAAACCAATGGTTTGTATTAATTTAAAATTAATGAAAAAAGGAAATGACAAAATGTATTTAATTATATTAGCTTTTAATTTTAAGTCAACGTTTTGTATTCATTAAGCAGTAGTATTAATACAAAAACTAGAAATGCATTAGCTTGATGGTGTATATGTGAATACTTGCAATCGCTCCAATATGTGTGTAGCGAGTGTACAATTTCGTTTTCGCGTAGGTTTGAATTGTTTTTGTGATTTTAGTCGCGGGTAGAGGTTGCGCATTTACTTGAATAATCGAGTGAGTGGTCTGAGAAGACTACCCCTTAAGGCTGGTCATGCCCGCACGCATGACCTCGTCGACGAGCAGCAGGTTGCTGGCAATTATGGAGCATGAGTTGAGAATCTGCTTTTTGACGATGTAGTTGTCGTAGACTCCCATATCGACGGGCTTCATGGGCTCACCGGTGGCCAGATCGAGCCCAACTAGGTCCGGGTGCAAGCGATCCTCGACGGTAAGCTTCACGATAGTGTCCTGGGCATCGTATCCACTGTTAACGGCAAGAGTTTTGGGTATCACCAGCAGAGAATCAGCAAAGGCTTGCACTGCTAAACGCGCCTTGCCCTTAATGGTGTCCTTGTATGCCACCAACTCGTTGTAGGCACGCACTTCGAAAGCGCCAGCACCAGGAATTAGAACCTTGTCGGCAATTGTGTTGTTGATGGCTCTGAGGCCATCGCGTATGGCATCCTTGATCTGGGTAATGGTGTGCTTGTTAGGTCCCTTGATTAAAATGGTGACCGAAAGCGGATTTTTGCAGTCCTCGACAAATGTGTACTTGTTCTCACCTAGGACATGCTCGTAAACGACACCCGCGTAGCCGAGATGCTCCTCTTGAAGATCGTCAAAGGAGTTCATTGCGGTACCGCCGCAAGCAAGAGCCAAACGCTCCATATTACGGCGTTTGGCGCGACGCAGAGCCAGAATTCCCTCCTTGGCGAGCGCATCTAAGGAAATAGGATCTATTCCTTTCTGGTTGATCAACACGAAAGTCTTGTCTGTGCCGTCGCACACCGACCGTTTCAGTTCAATCACCTTTTTCACACGCTGATCTATAAACTCACGCTCAGCACGGACGAAAGCTTCGCGCTCCTCGGCCGTCTTGTAGAAAAATCCAGAGTTGACCTCAGCCTTCTCGTATTCCAGGGAGACATTGGCGGTGAGAATGTAGACATTCTCTAGCCGCTTGGGCATGTCCGGATGGCGGGCGCCATGGTCCATGACCAGACCACGCACAAGCTGCGTGTCTGTGTCAGTCTTGTGCTGCATTTCCATCAGCTCAACCATGTGCAGATCAACGGGCTTCTTGTCATTAGCTATGGTCAGGACAGCGTCCACACACACCTCGGTGAGCAGGTCGGCCAAAGCTGGATGCACTTTGGTCTTCAGACTGGTGTTTGCAATCTCAACTAAATTCTTCTTGTTGATTTCAACGGGAACTTTGACCTTGTCGAGGACCTCCAGCGCCTTGTCGCGGGCCTTCTCAAATCCCTCGGCCATGATGCGGGGGTGCAGACCCTCAGACAAGTAGATATCGGCCTGCTTGAGAAGCTCTCCGATCAGCATCACTGTGGTGGTGGTACCATCCCCAGTGGAATCATCCTGGGCCGTGCTGGCCCTGGCAATCATCGAAGCTGTTGGATGCTGGATCTGCATTTCATGCAGCAGAACATTGCCATCCTTTGTTATCTTAATATCCCCGGCTCCAGAGACCAACCTAGAATGTTCGATAAATTTCTGTTAGTGTGCGTGCTTAAAGCGCGTGAGTCACTCCTCTTTCTACGGTTGAGCTATCCGACTAACGGCAATGGAAACAATTTGGGAGCTAATTTCACTTGCCATGACATAGACTCTAAGTTTAAGTATCATGTTTTATATTATTTGTACTAAAAATGCCTGAAATCTCTGCATTTGTGAGCTAAATCCGGTTCTAGAGCAACTTCTGCTGGACGATGACGCATGCCGCTATTACAGTTCATTTCTAACCTTAAACATCAGGCAACGCAGCTGTGTCTGAATACATGTTTTTCAATTGCATTCTTTCGCTTATGAAGATAAATTCTGGTGGGTGGGGATAAGTCACAAGGAGACAGCCAAAAACTTACATTTTTACTGTTCCTTTGGGACCTAGGTTGGTACGCATGACATCCTGCAGACCTTTGGCGGCGCTGATATTGATGGACAGAGCCTGAGCGGCACGGGCGAACTCAGCCTTGGGATTCAGCAAACTAATTGAAGCCATTATGTTTTAGAATGGAATGGTATTCTATTTAATTTTCGTTTACAAATTGTAAAATTACTTTGCAAAAAATGAGCAACACGCTAAGTGAAAATTTGGAACGCAGTATGACCACACACCAGAACCGATACTTTGCCCAAAAAATATCAACATGGTTCGTTGCTTGATTTTCATACTATACAGGTATAGTAGTGTAGTGGACAGTATATGTCTTGCGCATTTGAGCACATTGTGCGGTATGCAACTGCTGGCCCTCAAAATCAAAAGCTAATATATATTTTATTTATAAGTTTATCCGTAATTTGATTCAGATATCATCAGAGCATCGAATTCAATCCGCGACGTGACAATTAATTTAAACGGGAAAACTAAATTGGCCCGATATATATCGTGTCCCTCTATTAACAAATATACTCACACCCATAACAGCGAAGTAATAAACTCCAAATACTAAGTAAACTCATAATTCCCAAAAGCTGTTCTGTTGTAATCTAACCAATTCACAGTGAAATCCGATTGCACTCATAGCAGCTGGTGTTAGCCTTTGTAGTGCAGCAAGGCAAATTAATTTTCCGCTTTTTAAAGTTAACAGATATCATAATACACACCCAGCAAATATAGTACAGGTACTTTTATCGGTTTATATCTGTGCACACAATGAGCCACAATGAAGACCACAGCTCAAGCCCCGAGAGAACAAACGACTCCGAGGCGACTGCTGCTGGCAATCCACGCCAACAGCTGGAAACCTATCGCGTTTATGTGGTTACCTGGAATGTAGGCAGTCGCTTTCCGGACAACATATCACTGCGCCACCTGCTCGGCTTGCATGATGCAAACGATGCTGCGGAAGAGCACTTGCCGGACATTTATGCCATTGGACTGCAAGAGGTAAATGCCCAGCCGCAGCAACAAGTCTTAAGCTTGTTTAAGGAGGATCCGTGGACGCACAAGGCAAAAGAGCTTCTGCGCAGCTACAACTATGTATCCGTGAAGTCAGAACAAATGCAGGGCCTGCTTCTAACCATGTTTGTGCGTCGCCCACACGTAGAGCACCTCAATGACATCGAGTCAGAGTTCACGCGTACCGGCTTTGGCGGTATTTGGGGTAACAAGGGTGCGGTGAGTGTTCGTTTCACAATGTATGGCTGTGGACTGGCCTTCGTGGTGGCCCACTTGGCTGCGCATGACCATCAGCTAGATGAACGGATCGATGACTACAAACAAATACTGGAGAACCATCATTATCACGTGAAACACTATCGTGAGATCTACGACCACGATTATGTCTTTTGGTTTGGTGATCTCAACTTTCGTCTGCAGGGCAACGACTCCTCCACAGAGGTCAGGGAGGCGTTGCGCAATGAAAGCCAGTACGTGACTCTTATAAAGCGGGATCAGCTGTTACATGTTCGGGAACACACACAGCAGGCTTTCCAAGTAATGCACGAACGAATGCCTGCATTTCCACCCACGTTTAAGTTTAAGGAGGGCACCTCCGAGTACGATTTAAAGCGTCGTCCGGCCTGGACGGATCGCATCATGTACGCCGTGCAGCCGTCAAACCGTCAACGTGGGATGCAGCTGGCCATCGAACAGTCCTCGTACAAATCCCACCCAGTCTACACCATCAGCGACCACAAGCCGGTCACAAGTGAATTTACAATTAAGCTGTATCCAAATGTTCGGGCCCCAGGTGTGAGTTTCTCCACTATTTCGCTATGGCGCATTGGTGACGAGAACACCGTGGAGTACCGCAAGCAGGTGGAGTTCGATGAAGGTCCCCATGACTGGATAGGCATATACCCCATTGACTATGCTAGCTTGGCGCACTATTCTGCTTATGAGTACGTCAACCAGGCCGAGTCCCCCACCTCATCGGACTCGAACAATGAGCGCGATTACTTCGATACGCCTGCCCGGCATCGGCGTGGCCGCCACCATCACCGGAATCGCCAGCGTCTGCGCCGCCAACAGGAGACCGACGGAGAGCAAGTTCGCATCGACTTTGCTGACGACGTGGAGCTACGGCATGGTGAGCAGTACGTGCTCATCTACTTTCGCAGCACAGGGTTGCGGGGTGTGACCAGCCTGTCAGGGATCAGCAGCGCGTTTGTGGCTGAGAAACAAAGCGGTTCGCCTTATCGAACCGAGTACAATGTTGACTAGCTAGCCGAGGCGCTGGACGTCAGTATAATTTAGTCCAATAGCAACCTGCATTTGTTTTTCCCCATCAACTGTATCCATTACTGTTATTATTGACATTTTTTGATTGCGTTTAGTTGGTTGCCTATTAATATACATATGTATGTATGTACATATTTTTCATTTTTAATACATATAATATATATGTAGATGCATTTAGTTATACACATATATATATGTACATATTTTGTTATAGAATTATACTAAACTCAACAAATAATGTCCGTGTACTCTCATCTTGGCCCTGTGTGAATTACGCTATTTATATTGCAGTGTCACGGAAATCGAGAAATTCAACCGGTTTGTCAATTTCGTAGCGGATAATTATGGGTACTGGCAACTGGCAAGTATGTGCTGCTATGACTCATCCCACTATGTGCTACAAAGCATGCAATGTGATAAGACCCCAGTTGACCCCAGTTTTTACTCATACAAAATATAAATAGATCCGTTAATTAATACTAAGTATCGTTAACATGTCGTGTTAAAAAAAAAGGGGGCATAATTCACACAAAATTCTTTGCGGGTAAAGAAATAATTCCAGTGTAGTCTTTGTCTTTTCTATGGATAGGTGAATACATAAAAATGCATGGAAAGACATTTGTATGTGTATTTATCTTAGTATTCATTCCCTAACTGTCTTTTTAAATAATATACCTATTTACAGCAATAAATACATATTGCAATGAAAATGTTAATATTGTAAATTAAAATCACAAAAGGCAAAAGGTTTCAATTTTTTGCTTACATTTCTTTGAAAGCTGCAAGTGCACTTGGCACTTGCAGAGCACTGTATAAACGTGTACATTTCTATGTTGGTTTGTACATACATATGTAGCCCCCCCCCCCCCCCCGCGCTGGGGCCGGCCCCCCGGGCGCGCCCCCCCCCCCGCCCGGCCGCGCGGGGGCCCCGGCCGCCGGCCCCCCCGGCGGGGCGCATGTGTATATACAAATTAAATTCAAATTTGACTGCTGCTTTAATTGACTATTTCTTTAACCATATTCGCATGTCCACTTTTCTATTAAAAGTGGCAAAGTTAAATGGGTGCAGCTACTCAATGTTTTTATTCTTGATTTTCGTAGTGTTTCAGGTCCAGAATTCAGACTAGATTATCCCAAAATTAGATGTTCCCATCAACAGACAAACCGGAAAGAGGTTTCTCCTTTCATACAGCATTATTGCGATCACAGAATAATTGCGTGATAACACATACATATGTATGTGCATATATGTATATCGTAGATATTAATAAAAGTCCACCAAACTGTTGTGCACAAGACAAACATACATGTACATATACTGCTCCCGAATTGAACGATGAAAAAGTATGTTTCCAACTCCATCAAATCGGGTGGATATTAAAGGATGGTGTCCGAAATACTAATATCAACATCAATAGTGTATACAATACTTAAGTCGGGATGAACTGTTGCCCGCTTGTAGCTAACAGCCGATTTTATTGCTATGTTTCTTGAATCTTGCTAATGTAAAAGGTTGTCATCGGTTGAGGGTACAGTGGGATTGTAGAGGCTTTTCCACGACTTTCCTCCCGGCTCATAGTTGGATTTTGTTGGGTAGAATGGATCTAGTTTTATAGCAACTGAACTCGGCTCTATGTTGCCAATCCGAGTGTTTTTCGCACGAGACGTCGAGCGATACTGTTGAACTCTTCTCTTCGTTCGCGCCACATAATGGCCGCATCAACATTAGCGCCACTTTCGTCGTTGGGTTCTAGCAATAAGAGCCAGTCATAAGATCAGGGGCAATTCGTGGGCCGACGAAGCTTTACTCACCCGCCAGCATGCTGACCACGCTAAGCAAGATCTTTTCCACGCTTTGGACTGGACTCCAGCGTTCGGCCGACAGCTCGTAGCCCAGGGGATCGTCGCCTGGCGCATGTAATATTGATATGCAGACGCGACCATCAGCAAAGATGTTTGGATGGAACATATCACAAGTGAATTTCATTTTTGGCGGACTCAGTGGGTAGTCGGGTGGAAAAACGAGTCGGGCGGGAAATACGCCTCCCTCGAAGCAAGTGCCCTCGGGTCCACTGCAAAGTGCAAAGAATGGATACAACTATAAATTATAAGGCAGTACGATCGTTGGGACCAATACTTACGCAATTAGTGCTTCCCATTCGAAGAAATTGTCTTCACTAACGGGACCAGCTACGATTCCTTCCGGTGGGTCGAGCGTTAACTCTGTGAGAATCATGCCATTCAGCTGATAAACAAAATTAAAAAACTGTTGCTGCAGACGCAGGGCACAGGCTTATGCAGTATTTGGACTTTGGCGGATCTAACAACGACAACATAATCAACGCCAACACCCGCGCCCGCGTCTGCTCACGCACTATCATCCGCCCCACTTACGTTTGTATTCCGCCATCAGGCGACGCAGTGCGGATCCAGCCATTGCCCTTCTCTTCCACTTGAGTCAGTCCAGGTGTCTTCGTCTTTTGCGACGATCGCAGCGTTCAGAGCTCGGATACGGCGTCAATTCAGACACGTCGTAGTAAATAAGCTTTGCAATGTTTATTTATATAAAATATAATACAAGTGTGTGTTTTTGTCAATGTCTGCCCCAAGAAAAAATTATACTACGTGAGCAGGGTTGCCAGGCTATCTCAGTTCACTGTTAGCTTAACATTGTCTCTGCAGCGTAGCATTGGCTCTCTGTTAACTTACAATATTATGAACAACATGAGTCAGCTTAATCATATTCCTTGATTTTGATATTCCGTTTAATATTACTAGCTAGTTGGCCCTCTCAACCCTTAACAAACAATCTTATCCGATAGATACATAAATTTTCTACACGATTGAAGTTTTCAGAAGTCCTTTTTATTGGATTATTTACATATTAAGGTTCAAACAAAAACAACATAAAACGAATGTGACGTCGTTTTTGTGGCGTTGCCAGACTCGTGCAATTCGTAGTTGCTGCGGGCTGCTATTTACTTGATACAGATAATTTCATTTTTTCTTTGATACCGATAGCTGCGTTTCATTATTTCATTGATAGTTTCATATTACTTATCATTATCATTGATAATTTCATTTTTTTTCTTTGATACCGGTAACTCGTTTCATTATTTCATTGATAGTTTCATTATTACATTGATAATTTCATTTTTTTCTTTGATACGTCTATTCATTGTAGTTTCATTATTACATTGATAATTTCATTTTTTTTCTTTGATACCGATAACTGCGTTTCATTATTTCATTGATAGTTTCATTATTTCATTGATAATTTCATTTTTTTTCTTTGATACCGATAACTGCGTTTCATTATTTCATTGATAGTTTATTATTACATTGATATATATATATCGATATATGGATATATATATATATCGATATATTGATATATAAACATTCAACATCTCTAGTTCTTATTTGTCTTCGCACGTGCTGTAGAAAATGGGAGATGCTGTGGAAGCCTTATTCGTCAGCTCCTGTAGCGAGGAAAACACAACATGCAGCGTCCAGGATCTGCGCACTGGCACCGACCTAATGAAGTACAAGGGCGGAGGAAATGCCCAACGCCACAGTCTGGCTATGATTGGGCTGAATTATGTTCTGGCAGCCAACACAATGAAGCCTCTGCTCCACGTCTGGCCTATTAATAAGCAGGAGCAAATGTCGAGCCTGCGATTTGTGTTGCCAGGCAAGGCCAACGCTATGGCCCTTTCTCCAGATGGCGCGTACCTGGTAGTTGGAATACAGGAGAGCATATATATCTGGCACATGAACACTGGCCGCATGCTGAGCACCCTCTCGAAACACTACCAGGCCATCACCTGCCTGCGCTTCACCGACAATGGCGAGCATTTCATTAGCGCCGGCAAAGATGGAGCCGTACTGGTGTGGGATCTCACCTTCTCAGTTGCACCGCTGGACAATGGCAGCCAGGAGGGCAGTGAGCCCCTGTACAGCTTTAGCGATCATGGACTGTCTGTAACAGATCTGCACACTGGAATTGGGGGCATTCGCTCCTACCTATACACAGTGTCCCTAGACCGCTGCTGCAACGTATATGACTTGAGCGGTGGCATCATGCTCCTCAGCATTGTGTTCCCAGTAGCACTGCACAGCGTGGTTGTCAATAGGATGGAGACTAGCATTTATGTTGGCTCCGCCGAAGGCAAGGCGTTTGTGTTTCACAATTGGCGAGCGCCACGGATGAAGGTGAGTGACTCCAATAAAAATGACATGGTTAATCATGGTTGTTTACAGGAATACCACCTGGAGGAGGACGAGGCTCAGGCCTTTATTGGCCATACGGTTGGAAAACCCATAACCTCATTGGCTCTGACAATGAATGCCCAACAATTGATTTCTGGCGGTGAGGATAAGCAAGTCTGCGTTTGGGATGTTGCGAGTCGGCAGCTCATGAAGAGTATTCCCCAGAACGGCGTGATCACCAATTTGAGAATCCGTCTTCTCAGTCCCGGCATTTTCCAGCCGCAACACAAGCAGCCACAATTATTCGCAGACAGTCTGAAGCGTATGATCAGCCCTCCGGATATCAATGATTACATTGAGTTGTTCGTCACCAAGGAGTACCCCAAAGAACGTGGCAAACCAAAGCGGAACTTCAACAAAAGTTACTTAGATCCAGAGAATAACAAAATATTACAAAAAATGCAGCTCGTAAATCTGTGTGACGATGACGATGCTATTGACTTTGACGAGGAGACGTTGGAGTTAACTGAACAATCTCCCAAAGTTGCAGATGTGCCTTCAGCGGACGTTGGCGAAGTTGATTGTGATAATATTGAAGAGGAAGACTATGAGGCCCATTCCAATGCCCCTGCATTACAGGAACTTATCGCCGAAAACCGACGCCTCAAAAAGCAAAACGAGAAAGTGCTTGCAATCATGGCGAAGTATCAGGCAGACAATTCGGAAAACGTCAAGGCTCCGCCGGAGAGAAATCGCAAGAAAGCTCGCAGGAGCTAGGCCTGTGCTCCACCCTTTTGTTTACTTAGATTAAAATTCGGTAATATATAATATAAAAAAATTAAAAACTGTATAGAAATAAAAAAGGGTGTCCAAAATTGGGAAGTTTTCGTTGACCGGCTGTCCGAAAATAAAATGTGCCTTTTCAATTATTAAAGTGTATGAAATAGTACAGGGATATATTCAATTCGCGTAAATGAATTTTAACGGACAAAAAGAATCGTTCCCCGCCCCATTTAGTAGCTACATAAATATTTACATACATATATTTTTGATCAGTATCCAATATCCGAGTCCATCTTTTTTTCCGTCTTATTTGAAGCCTAGTTCTCAAAGACTATAAGAGGTGGAGCAGCTGTATTTGACGCGTAAACTCCTCTGATATCACACTAAATCAAATAATAACAAAAAAAAAACTGCCCATCTAAAATATTGTATACAGAAAAAAACTAATGTCGACTGTTTTTTTCTGTTAGTCTATCCGACCGATCGAATGTCTGACAATTTTCCTTCATTATAATGAAGAATATCCCAATTCCTCAGCATCTAAAAATCTGGTTCCTAAGTCCCAATATTTCCTTTTCACATAGCAACCAAACCCAGGAGGGTTCCAGGGGCTGCTTGAGTCGGAGGAGCAGCGGTTTCGACCTCAAGTTAAAGATAATTTAAAAAAAAGTAACTTCACAAAGTATCCATATAACTTCTTATTCAACGGCGAGTTCAATTTCAAGTTTGAGTTTTTAAAAGACGAAGGTCATTTTACGCCGACCTGAAGATTGATTCGATCCGCCGATAGTCCACCACGTCAACACTCCTCCCATCATTATTCGTATAAATGTAAAAATGGCTCGTACATATGCAAATATCTGTAAACAAACAGATGACTATAAGTTTATTTATATATGTACACAAAACAAACAAAAAAAACACAAACAAATCTTACACAAAACAAAGGAAGATATAGACAAACAATAAGCTGGGAATCAGCTTTACTTTGATACATTATCATTATTCGGCTGTCCATTCATGTCATCATCGGCATTCTCCTGATCACCAGATTTGTCCTTCTGCTCCGCGAGCTGTCGGCGGATCTCCCTATTGGAGTTCAGCAGCTCCCGTAGCTGCGACATGATGTCATCGGTGCGCTGCTCAACGGCGTCCAGGGCGCAGCTGAGGGCGTCCAATCTCTGGTTGACATCTTCCATTTCTTTGAATGGATATTGTGGTTATCAATGCGTTGAAATCTCACCTAACTTACCTTGTAGGTCTGCCTCCTGTACATTTGCATTGCCCGAGTCGCTGGACATTGTGGGATCGTGGTTGTTCTTGGGCGACATATCCCTTAGCTGCCCTTTGCCTTTGCTAAATACAATTTATATTTCTCCGAGGGAGATTTTATGTCACGGGACATAGGCTTGAAGTTCTCTCTCGATTTTCAACACTGAGATTAGTAAAATATATCGATACAGTATCGATCGAATGGTCGTGTTCCACTACACTTCTAGTGAAGGCAGCGATATATCGAAATCAATATATCGAAATGCTAATTGATACCGATAGCTGCGTTTCATTATTTCATTGATAGTTTCATTATTACATTGATAGTTTCATTTCTTTGATAACGATAGCTATCGATAGCCCAAAATACCGAGAACTCAATAAAATACTGAAAACTATTTTGGAAAATTCGACACCGATAAGTCCTGGGATGAAGTAAAGAAATCGGTTATCTATTGTTTGTTTAAATATATTTATTTTTTTATTCGTCTTTATCGATCTCGTCAAAGGTTTCAGTGAGCCCCTGCGACCAGGTTCGAGTAACAGACATTGGCGACACAGGTGTGGTTGGGGAGCCTGGGAACAGCTTCCTGTTTACATTTTTTTTAAACGCTGCCGCGGCGCACTTATTTTTATAGCGAATATATATTTTTCCTCGCCGATCAGTCCTGTAATCTGAGTCCTCTTCTCCGGGAAATAGGTTCAGAAGCTGACTCTCAAAAACACGACATTCCTTGAGGGTGAGCTTCTGCTCCCTTTGGAAGAAATGGTCGGCGATGGTGTTAATCGCCGTCTTCCTCATCTCCGGTGTTAGTGCTCTGGCTGCCACGCACGCACCAGCAATGATCTGGCCCCGGCCGTCTTAAAAATGTTCAGCACGGTCATGGTCTCCTCCTCCTGCCGGATGGACCCACCGGTGAACGCGCTGTATCGAGGGGAGGGGGTCCCCTGTATAACACCAAAGATACTGCTGCACGCGTAGGATGGTGTCCTGGCCTCTATTGGTCGAAACACTGGGGGCGTTGTTTTCGGTACGCCAGCCCGTTTGGGAGATTCGTGGGGGAGCTGCAGCTGCAGCTGACGATTCCCTGGTTAATAGAACTGCCGGTGTTTTTGATTCCATCGGGGATGCCGGTTCTTCGCTTGCCGGTGTTGTTGGTTCTGGTTCCCACATGGCTGGGGGTGTGGGTGGGACCAAAGACAATATAAGTATAAGATGCGTAACGCCATACGAAATTTCTGCACACGAATTTTTGAGGCTGGCTCTAGAGCTGGCTCCAGGCTCTCTTGAAATTTTTTTAGAGAGAGAGAGCGCTCTAGAGCCAGCCGCTCTCTTGTATGCATACAGCATACGAAGGCACACGAAGTTGGTTCTTTGCCGATGCGACAGCCGAGCCGAGTCGTCGCGTACGTTTTTTACAGCGCTGTCGAAATATACCCTTCACTTTATAAGTGTAAGTTAATTTTGCAAGACGCTTACCACCCCAATATTAAAAACTGTTATATTGTATATGTATATCCCTTCAACGATAATTTATTTTAAGATGGTATATTCGATAATGATGATCGGATATACATATATAAAAATACATAATATATTTAATACATGAAATTCCATGAATCACATTGGAATAATTGCCATTAGGGTATTCAGGATGCGACGTATTCAACGCCGGTATATAATTTCGTTTCTCAACTCATAAAAAGGTTTCCGTCTCGAAAATCGTCCGCTTAGCACAAGTACGCACACATACGCACTTGCTGTTCTGTGTGTACTTACACATGCAAGCGGATTCTATTTTTAGATTCGTACGCTCTCAAATTTGTGCGAGCGAGATGGCGCGAATTTCGTCGCTGGCCGAAAAATTGTCTTGCATATGGCAATTGAAATGTATGTATGAGCGTTACGCATCTTATACTTATATTGTCTTTGGTGGGACGCTCCTGATAGACTCCACTTCAACTTTTTTCCCATTTAATTTAACTATGCCGGCGTCTTGTTGGGTGCTCGGCTTGAGTCCTTCAGAAAATTTAAGGGCAAAGTCCAGTGCCTTCTCATCAAATGGCATTGTGATCTTGACGACGCTGCCTTTGCGGGTCACTTCGATCTCCAATCTGTGAAAATTGTAAGTGTTATTTTAAAATTATTCCGCTAAAATTTTCTACAACTTACTTCTTCATGGTTCAATTTGAGTTTTAAAAATGGTGCCTTGGAGTGCCGTTGTTTGTGCCATTTCCCTTTTTGTCCAATTCTTTCATGCCATGCCACAGACCGTCGCTCCGAAGACGAAGCAGCACAAAAAGGATTTGCGCCATTTTCCTTTCGTCGCAAGTTCGATCTGGGAGCGGCACAATGGGCCAAACGGGCAACTTCGAAAGTACAGGGCGACTGTAGGTTTTTAACAGCTATATTGACCGTTTTTCCCACTGTGTCACTGTTTGCCGCGTAACGCGATTTGAACACATGCAACACTCTGCGAGTGGATTCTGAGCGTTGTGTTTTTACTCGTGATTTATATTTTGTGGTGCAAATTTAAAAAAAACGAGAAGGAACGTGCGAGTCTCTTCTGGGGACGCGACTCTACTTATACCCGTACTCAGTCAGTATATACATTTTTGATCTTATGATTTTTTAGAATTTTAGAACAAAAAAAATTTTACATTTTACATTTTTTTGCTACATCTGATATCTACATCTACATCTACAATGTATATTCTACATCTAACATGTAGATTTGTACATGTTCCATTTAGATTCTACATCTCCTCCGCTAGGGGTTGCTCGCGCACTGAATGCGGCAGAGTGTGCGAGCGAGAAGGAGAATGAGTTGCGTTGTCGCTTGCCGGAGGGGGAAGGGGAAGCAACTGAAAATGAATTTCTTCATTCTGGCTATAATTATGATCCGATCTGATTCAGATTCGGCAATCTGGTAGATATGGTCATTCTCTACGATACTGCGTATCTTAAAAATTGTGGATGCCACAGATTTTCGTCCTTTGTGGGGGCGGAAGGGGGCGGGGCGAAATTTTGAAATACACTTGTAGCAGTGTGATATCACATGAGTCTGGAAACCAAATTTGGTTCCTCTAGCTTTTATAGTCTCTGAGATCCAGGCGTCAAACAAGACGGACAGACGGACAGACAGACATGGCTCTATCGACTCGGCTATTGATGCTGATCAAGAATATATATACTTTATGGGGTCGGAAACGTTTCCTTCTCTGCGTTACACACATCCACTTTTACCACAAATCTAATATACCCCTTAACTCTTTTTTGAGTACGGGTATAATGAATCTGGAAGAAGTATTGACATGCCACCCACTATTGGCTGGAAGAAGAGACGACGTGCTCAAGGCCATAAAATACGTGGAGCGGGAGTCCCACATAATGGAATTGGACTCCGGGGTTATCAATATGGTGTCGAACTTGATCTCTTTTAAGGATCAGCCATTTCTATTGATATTCGACGAGTATCATTTTACCCACATTCCCAACGTAAGCTTTATTATATTATCTTCCCGTCTGTCCGTCTGTCTGGCTACAAGTCTCGTAGAGAATGACCATATCTACCAGATTGCCGAATCTGAATCAGATCGGGTTATTATTTAATTTTTATTTATTTGTTAACTTAATAACACTAGTCAACACTAGAATTGGGCTGTGGCCCAAAATATAGTTTTTTAAAAATTAAAAAAAATTACACCATAAAAAAAACATAATTCGTTATATAAGAATCTAAACAAAATCTCAGGAAAATATTTTTATTAAAAATAATATATATATATACTTTCAGGTTCATTTTAAACGTTGGAAGGCGTTGGCAATTGCTGCGGTAAAGGTGGATGGTACAAGCCTGAAATATTTGTACATCCACGTTATGTCCACCGACGCACACATTCTGGGCGCCGAAGTAATCAAGGCAGGACTTGCCGTTGTTGTTAAGTCAATTTTCAACCTCGGCTTGGCCCACAATGTGTGCGCGGTTATATCGGATAGATGCAAGGCTAATTTGCTGCCGTTGCAGTATTTGGCCAATTTTTTCCCGCTCCTTTGGGACAAGGACAACTTGCGGGAAAAAATGGCCAACAAATACCGCAACGTGGACACAACTCTAGAGAATATGTATGCAGCGACATATAAGCAGCAGACTTTGGAGCAACAGCTCCACGCAATGGACATCACCCCGCCGCCAGCAAGCTTAAAATCTTGCTACGACGAGCAAATTGAAAACCTAAGGAAGCTGTTGCGAACATACTTTAGTCTGTCGACAGCCCCCATAACTTTGGAAAAAGTAAATAGCTCAGATTTTGAGTTTAGGGGGGTTGTCCTCCGAGCAAATGTGGGTGATGTGCTCGAATTTATTTTCTTGACACACGCAGCTGATTTTCACGATGAAAGATTGGCAACAAAACTTTTCGCCCGCGTTGTTGGAATCCTGATATCAATTTTTAATCATTAGTTTTACTTTTTATTTAATTAATTTCCATTTTACATTAAATTAATCAAAACCATTATGTGTGAGTGATATACAGCTGTGAAAAAAATAATAGCACCACCACCACAAGCAATTTTTAAATAATTGCCAAACTCACATTTTTAGCTTTAAGGAAATTTTAAGCACATTTTTAGAAATGGGAGACTCTAACAAACCTGAGAATACAAAAAAAATCATATTTTTTTGTAACGTTTTTAAGATATTTAAGGAACTTTATTAAAATTCATAAAACTAGGCGAAAAAAAAATAGCACCACTATTCAAAAATGAATTTAAAATTGAAAAAATAAGCAATTTGTAACGAATTCATTAGTTAACCATTTTTAACTATTAATACTAAATCTATATGAATAATTTAATATTTAGTACAGTGTCCTTTATTGTCAATAACAGCTGCGCAGCGTCTTGGCATGGAATCAAATAAGTCCTGGCATCGTTTTAGGGAAATTTTGGACCAGGACTCTTTAATTTCTTCCCAAAGTGATCGGATAGTGGTTGGCTTGGAAGCAGCAACTGCCTTCTTGACGTCGGACCACAGATTTTCGATGGGATTCAGGTCAGGCGACTGTGCATGCCACTCCAAAACGTTCACAGAGTTTACCCGGAACCATTCCTTTGCTTTCTTCCTGGTGTGTTTGGGGTCATTGTTCTGTTGGAAGACCCATACGAGCGGCACTTCATATTCTGCAAAGGGTAGCATTACTGTCTCCATGATATTCACGTACACGTGCTGATCCATGATGGGTTTTGTCCAATGTATTGGACCTACTCCATAGTAGGAGAAGCAGGCCCATACCATTACACTATACTCTCCATGCTTAATAGTTTTTGTGGTGTACTGGGGTTTGTGTTCAGTATTCTTTGGACGTCTAACGTATGATCGAGATCCCTTTCAACCAAACATAACCACTTTGGACTCATCTGACCACATCTTTGACATGAAGAAGGGTCATAGATCGTTTTCGCCCGCGTGTTTCAGTCTTTTCTTCATAGTTTAAGAGGTTTTTAATCATTATATTGGAGCATCCTACCAATCGACCAACTTCTCTGTAAGTTTTTCCATCCAATATCAATTTTTTGATAAGATCGCGCTTCTCCGTAGTGCAGTGCTTTCCACGTCCTATTGTAATTATTACTTTTAACTTTTATGATAGAAACAATGAGTTCTTAGTCAAAACTAATGAGCAGGTGCATTCTGCAAAGGCGATTCCGCGAAATACAGGTTATTCACCAAAAAAATGGCTAATGGTGCTATTTTTTTTTCGCTATTTTTGGGGGGTTTTTGTTTTTAAATCCCAAAAAAAATATATAGACAGAAATTTAAAGAGCGGTAGCACTGTTTTTGTTTATGGGGAATACCAAGCAATATAAAAAAGATTTAAATTTAAAAAAATCGCAAGAGTAAGCGCATTTTTTTTTATCAAGAACAAAATGTATTGTAGTGGTGCTATTATTTTTTTCGCAACTGTACTTTTGTTTGCATTCGCAGAAAGCGAGCGAAATTAATGGGAGAATTTGAATTGGGGTCAATGTTAGTGCTGGAGGGAATGGAGAAGGGCTGCGTGTAGGTGGGCCCACTCGGCGACCGTGCCGGACTGGTCTGCTGATAAGCATAGCCTTCGGTGACGGGCTGTTGTTGCGGACGCAGTGTGCCCCACGCATTGGGCGCCACGGGCGTAGGGGATGTGCCCGACTTGGGGATCTTGGCCAGTGGTCCACCGCCCGCTGCGCTGTACGGCGAATGTGTTGTGTCGTAGGCATATCCCACTGGTGTGTTTTGAACCGATCCCGGACGCTGCTGTTGCTGCTGCTGGGGCGTTGGCGCCTGCATGGTGAGCATGTGGGTCTGGTACATGCCATCATTGGTGGCACTGCCAGCACTTGTTGACCGTTCTGGGCAGTGTAACCGCGGATTTATTGAGAAAACATAACACTGAACCCCGCAAAAATATACCATTAATTTTCTGCATTTGCAATCGGCGATTAAATATCGGCCTGCACGATTCACAAGTGCTAATAAAGATATTTTTCTGCGATAATAGGAAATTTTCAAGTCGATATATTCTTTCGATAGCTCCGCTGCCACACTGGTCACTCTGCCGCCTGACATAACATCTATTGACAAATCAAAATGTTCTTTAAATACAAACCGAGAATATTGCTCACACAATTCAACGTGAGTCTGTATGGTTTAAAGCTGCATTATTAAAATACAAAAAAGTCTTATATTTATTAGCTACCGCGATGTTATGCCACAAAGCAGACACCCCGACCAAAAGACAGCCGTCCTGTTGGTCTGGCCCATCCGCCAGATCCGAAGACCGTCAGCTGCGACTACATAGGTCCACCAGATTCGCAATCGAACCTGCGTCCCTACGTAAGGCACTACAATGACAACGAAACGGCTTTGGCTAATAAATTGCGAATGACGCGAATCGAAGTAGAGGCTTGGAATGCGAGTTTCTGGACTAGGCACAACAAACGGTTCTATGAGGTTAGCTAGACTCATCTTTTTATTTCCTGACCATCTCTCTTGTTATTTCTTTCGCTTTGATGAAGACGAAGAATTACAACAAGTGTCGTTTTCAGGAGAAAGAGGACTTTATACGACTGCACAAAGAGGCTGGCAACGAGGAAATTTCAGCCGATCGCATGAGCGTGTTCTATAAAACTTTTTTGGACAAGAATAGGCGCATTCATTTAATGTATAACCTTTCGTGGTATATGAAAAACTTTGACATGCTCACAATGGCGTTTATGGTGGAGGTTCAAAATCTTCTAGCGCGTGGAAAGAGACGAACAGGAGTCTAAGCACTCAGAAACTAGTATTTTGGCCATTTGTTTGATTAGCATATAAATATGTACGTCTGAAGAAATTTTGAGTATTTAAGGAGTCAAATAAAAAATATCGAATGATGGTAAAATGGTTGCATACAATTTACTTAACACTTATAGAGATGAAAAAACACTTTCTGGATAGTTAATATGCTTAATTTTAGGGCGCCGAAGTTAAATGAAATAAAATACAATATATATTCGTATGTCTACGTATTCAAAGAAGGTTCTGCACATTACATTTACTAACAAACCTGTTGAGAAACATGACACACTTTCATGTCTCTACCTCCTAATGTCCATTGTAAGAATGCGAAAACTAATAATCGGTATAATTATGATAATATAATAATGGTAAACAAAAAGAAAGGCACACACGCATAAAGTCAAGTGGGGTACTCGCTAGGGTCTAGGGTCTATCTCTCTGAGCTCTATATTCGGTCGTGGTGCTGGGAGTGGGAGATAGTCGTGCAATAATGTACGTAACATAAAATACATATTTTTTTGTATAGAAATTATACAATTGAGCACTTTAAACTACGAAAATGCTGTTCATTTTCTACTCTTTCCACTTTCTCATCCCCTGTCCCCTTTTCTATGGGTAATTAAGGACTAAAGATACAAATTTTCTACAGTGGGCGGCGGGCATATATAAAATACATAACTTACAGGGTCCTATGCTCTACTAAAGCACGTATGCATAAATATAACTATATATATATATATATATGTACATAAATCTATACTGTTTAGAGAATGAATTTCCATTTGCTCAGACGTTTCATTTTACTGGGGAAACTTCCATGTGGGTTGGTTTGTGCTGGTGCTCGCTGTTGGAGTTGCTTCTGCTTTTAGTTCATCCACTTTCGACAATTGGGAGCGCCACAGGCACACGGTATCTTGTGTGCATCATCCTCAATATCAAACTTGTAGTCATAAGAGAGCTGCGGAATCATACGAAACCATACAATATAATACGAAAACACTGCGAAACAGCTCCATGTCTGCATATGTATGTGCGACTCACCTCCTCGCCACGATAAATTTTACGCTTGGCGAATATTATGATCCGCACATCGCGATCGACCTCAACAATCTCCGTCACACAGTTAGGATTGCACGAGTGGTTGATGTAGCGAGCCAGACCGCCGCTCAGAGTGGCGTCTACGACGCGATCCTCGTCAAGGCGAAACATGTAAATGCCCCGATTCTGCAGAGACAAGAAAGGTTTAAAATCGATTTAATGAGCTGACGTTCATTGAAATTGATTGACGTCCACTGATTCGTACCTTGGATTCGTACTGCTTCTCCCGTATCTCGGAAACTTCGGTGCGAATGACCTCTCCAATATACTCGATGATCATGGTGTGCTTCTCGATATCTCGGGCCGCATACAAGCCCAGGCCCTGAATCTTTGACCTGAATGGTGCCGAAAGAAAAAGGCTAATTTGTTAGGGCATATTTTTGATCTTAAAATAAAAATAATTATACACGAGGGGGAACGTTGTGAGCCGCTGCTAAAGCCTTCTTCTTTTATACCTGGCACTCAATCAGTATGTGAGCTTATGATTTATGTCGAATTTTAAAATATTTCATCTGTTTCCATTTTTTTTTGCTACATCATTCTCTCTCTCTCTCTCTTCTCACCCCAATACACTATTCTACCAAGTTCTTCTCCGACAGAGGGCGCACACTGCACGGGGTAGAGTGTGTGTCTGAGAGAGAGAGAGAGAGAGAGAGAGAGAGAGAGAGAATGAGTAGCGCGTGGAGGGCGGTTCCCACTGCAAATTAACTTTTTCATTCTGGCTATAATAATATTCCGATCAGTTCCAATCTTCGGCAATCAGGTTGGTGTAGTCGTTATCTACTATACTGCGTTTTCGGTTTTCTCGTATCTTCAAAATTGTGAATGGCACAGATTTTAGTTTTTTGTGGGGGCGGGGCGAATCTTCAAAATACACTTGTAACAGTGTGATATCACACAAATCTGCATTCAAAATTGCTCTAGCTCTTACAGTCTCTAAAAACTAGGTAACAAGCAAGACGGACAGACGGACGGACAGACACATCAGCTATGTCGACTCGGCTATTGATGCTGATCAAGAATATACCTTATGTGGTCGGAAACGTTTCGTTCAGTGCGCTACACATATCCACTTCGACCACAAAACTCATATACCCCTTAACTCATCGAGTACGGGTATACAAAACGAGAGCCAAGTGTAACCCACCTAGCCAAGTAGACATTGTTGCGCCACTCTTGCTTCATCTTTTTGTACTGGGAGCTCTTGGAGTGGACGAACTGCTTGCTGTAAGGGCAGGCAACCTCTCCGGCAATCGACGCCGAGTTGGCCATGCGCTGGGTGCTGCAGCTGCCTGCAGTACGTTGGGTGTGCGGCTTGCGCCAAACGAGCAGCTGGCGTTGCTTGGGCTCAGTGCGGGCGGCGCCAGACGGATTGATGGCCAGCGGGAACTCCAGCAGCGGATTGCGGCCGTACTTGAATCGGTAGTCGGTTAGCGTCTCGATCCCGGGCAGGCTTTCCAGTATGCGCACAATGGCCGGCTCTGTTAGCCCGAACAGGTCTTCGCCGCTGATGTGTTGCGGGAAGAGCTGCAGCCATTTGTGCACCTTCCGCAGGCGGGTGATTGGTTGCAGGATCTGCTGCCACACCCCCGATGGCGTGCTGGCCTGGAACTCGCGTTCCGGCTGGTTGTCGCTTCCGTCCTGAATCACGATCCGGAATTCAGGCTTGCAGCCGGCCTCGGCTATGGAGCAGATGTAACGACACCGTCGATTCGGACGCCGCACGCACCAATAGTATCGACTCTGCGAATCAGAAGTGTAATCAAATTGGGATGACATTATGGTGCATCTCACTCACAAAAGGTACTTACCACCTTGTAGCCAATTGGATAGATAAAATGGGGTGTGTGGAAGGCCTCCAGTTGGTGGGGCAGCAGTTGGCCCACGTTAAGGAATGTCATGTTGCCCACCCGGAGCAGGTTGCTCAGCTCCGTGTAGTGCATGACGGTGGCAACCTGACGATTTTCGTCGCGGTCCACGAACACCCGACGGTGCACAACGAATGAACTTAGCTCGTTCTCCATTGGCCCAAAAGCGGCTCCGGCTCCAGAGCCAGACCCACCCCCAGAGGCGGCATTGGCATTGGCACTTCCACTGCTTGCATGGTTTTGGGTATGGGAATGGCCATGGGCACTGCAGTGAACGGACTTGTTCTTGTAGAAGACGCACTCCTCGCGGATGGCGCAGGGCAGGTGGTAGAGGTTGTTGCAACGCGACTTGAAGCATTTGATTGTCGCTCCCAGTTGGTGGCAGGCGCTGCACGCCTGATTCAGCCCCGCCTGCAGCGCAGTCTGGAAGTTCATCAGCGCACCGGACACCGTCTCGTACACACCGTTCGACCACAGGGCACAGTTGAGATGCACCTGCATGGGAGAGATTCAAAGATGAGAAGGGGTCGAGTCGAGAAGGGGTAGGGGTAGGGGTAGCAGACTCACCCATTTGTCCACATCGAAGTTAAGCAGGCGCGAAGGTCCGTCAGCCTGGCCATCGCCGCGTTGATTGCAGAAGACGCACTGGCGCGTGTCCTCCAAGTGGCTCACCACGTCCGTTTCCCACACTGTGTTGTTTGGTGCAGCGAATGAAGTCGCTCCCTCGCTCCACTCCTGCTTGATGTCCGAGCTCGTGGACGATTCCGTGGCAAAACAGTCGCTGCTAAAACATTTTACGATGCACTTACGCTGCAGTGGGGGCGCAGCGGTCTCGCTGCTCTGCCGGTTCTGCTTCGCGTCGAGCTCCTCTTCCGGCGGCTCCGTCTTCACTACATTCTGTTGAGGAACGGTCGGGCCTGAACCTGATGCAAACTGGCCGGCTTTCGAGGACCTGCTGGCCGTAAGCAGAGAGATGCTGGCCGCCTCGGCTTTCGTCTGAGTCTCCTTCCCGCTCCACTTAAACATGGCCAAGCAGGCACGATCGCAGAAGTAGAAGAATGGAGGCGGTGGCGTCTTCCGGGGCAAAAGCGCCATAAGCTGGGCCAGCCGGGGCAGCTGTTCCTCCAGCGGAGGCATGCTCTGGCTGGGTACGCGCAGGCCGCTTGCAGGGACGACGTTCGCACAGCTCCGACACAACTTTCGCCGCCCGTTGAGTATCTTTCTGAGGTGACCGTTGCTTACGTAGTGGGGCCGCTTGAACGTCTCTTTTTCCGCCTGCTCCTCGGCCTCCTCCCTCGCTCCCTGGCCCTTTGGCTGCTCGAGACTGGGCTCGGCGCCGGCCTTCGAGTCCGCCTTCTCCTCGATGAGTTTGCATGTAAGGGCGGGCGTCAGGTGCAGCAGATTGGCCAGATCCCGCAGCACGCCGGCTATGTTGTCCGTCGTCGATGAGTGCAGCGAGAGTATCACATTCTGGTTCTTCTGCTGATAGTTGTTGTTGTTGTTGCTATTGCTGCTGCTGTTGTTGCTGTGGCCGATGCCGCCTCCCAGTCCCATTTCCATTTGCTGGCCTTTGCGCAATTCCTCGGCGCAGGTTCGAAGTAGGGGCGAAGTGGGCATCCGCATGGTGAAAGGATCTTCGGCCAGGGCCACCGGCGACATCCGGCCGTGGCCGCGACTGTTGTTGTTCAGCAGAATAAGGCCCGGAAAGCGCGTAAGTCGAGGCAGGGCCGTCCATGCAGTCACTGACTCGCCCTCCACCAGCTCAGTGGTCTCCAGATTGGAATCCTTCACGGCCCCGATGTGCCGTAGCAGCCGCTCGCGGGGATTCCGCTCGATGTGTGTGGAGAATTCCTGGTCGTAGAAGTCGTTCTGGATGCTGGACATGGGCTGAGACTTTCCCTCTACTCCTCCCATGGACCCCGATGGGGATGCAGATCCCCCTAACGGGCCACCGCTCCCGCCAAAGCGTTCGCTGTCATACAGCGAGGGAATACTGGGATGCCGCACCCGACCGAAGTGGCCCAGCAGAGCTCCGTCGCACTCCTCCAGCGGCGAACCCCGGGATAGAGATCCGACAACTTTTAGCTTGCTGTTGCCAGAGTTGGACCCGCCCGATCCTGGTCCTGATCCTGTTCCTGGTCCTGCGCCTGCCATCTCGCTGCTCCCAACAAGGAAGTGAAAGTTGCGGTTGAGGTGCGGCTCCAGTACCTGAAGCGGTTGCATCTGGCGGATGTGCGTCAATAGCTTCTCGGTAAATGCGTCGTGGTCCTCCTCCACCTTGGAGAACTTTCGCACTCGCTTCTTCAGCATGGGTGAGGCGGCCGCACCGCCTCCCCCTCCCCCTCCGCCGCCAGCTCCGACCACTCCCGAGGGCACATGTCCAGTGCCGGGTGCCCCCTGTACGTACTGGGTGCCTGGGGGCATGCGGGCCAGCTGCACCATCGCACCTGCTGGTAGCGTCCCGGAAAGATCCTTGGGACTGTTGGCTGCCTGCCCAGCGCTGTGATTGGCTCTCCGTGGTTTCTGCACCTCGCGTTTGCGCCGCTTGCGCTGGTCCCCTGGTTTGGGTTCCATAACCGCTGGCACGCTTTGAAGGCTGGGCTGGGGATGCGCCTGTGCATGTGAATGAGCCGCCTGCAGCTGCACTTGCTGCTGCTGGTGATGTTGGTGCTGCTGCTGCTGATGCACGTGCATCTGCGCAGGCATCTGGCCATGAATATGAGACTGCATCTGTGCCTGGTGGGGCGTCTCTCCTGGCTGGCCAGCTTTCTTTACGTAGCTGGTTATGGCTGAAATAAGCTGCAACTTGTTCTTTTCCGATCCTGGGGCTCCCGATGAATTGGTGCTGGGTGGCAGAGGCTTCATCCCTATCGCCACAGGCATCTGCATCAGATCATTGCTATGCGAGGCATCAGGGTGGTTGTGCTGCATCTGGAGCTTCTCCTCCAGCTGGGTGTTCGACTGAATGGTTAGTTTTCTCTTCTGCGCCTCACCGGACTTAAACGGCATCTTATGGAGGGCCATGGTTTGGCCCATTCCCGACTCAATGTGAATGCTGCTGCTGTTGTTGTCCTGGATCTGTCTGCTCCAGCTGTTTGATACTGCACCTGCTACTGCTCCTGTTCCTGCTCCTGCTGTACCGTGCACTGCTGCTGATGTTGCTGTTGTCTGAAGGTTGTCCGAGGTGGTTGGCGGCTGCTCGGCCTGTTCTGACAAGGGCACGCCCAGGGACTCTTGTTCCATTGTCATCGACATCGCCATGGGCATGGAAATGGACGCGGATGCGGACTTGTGCTTCATCTGCAGATTCATATCTTTGGAGGGCTTGGTGGATATAGAGATTGTCACATTGGAAACGGGAGCGGTGGCCAGCTCATAGGGCGGCGGCGGCAAGAACTCTGCCGGCTTGCTTGTGGTGCATCCCGCTCCCCCAGAAGACTCCGCCAACTTCCTGTCTCCAATTGACAGAGCTGAGTGCGTGGGAGGTGTGGATATGAACGAAGTCTCCTTGGACACAATCTGTACGGTCTGCTTCACTTGGTTTTGTGGCTGTTGTTGAGCTGCTGGTGGCGGGGGTGTGGGTTTTGGCAGTGCCTGCTGGGCCATCGAGGACTGCTGCACCACCGGTATCTGCTGCTCAAGCTCCCCAACGGCATTAGTTGCAGGAACGGGAGACTCAGTGGTCACAGAAGCTGTGGCGCAGGCAGAAGCGGCTACAGATGGAGCGAGAGGCGGAGCAGCTGGTGCGGCCGCCGCCGACTGTTGGCTGATGCCTCCATTCCCATTTGCCACTGTGGTGGTAGTGGTAGGCGTGGGCACGGATCCGCCACTACTACTTACCGCCGCCGGCACGGGCGGAATGACGGGACGGGCCAACTGCGCCTCCAGGGAGCTGACTTGACCCATGCTCGGGGCCCGTACGTTGATCACCTTGCGGGCAGACAGTGGCGCTGTGCTGGCAGCGACGTGGGCTGGGTTAAGGTTGAGGTTGTGGCTGTGGCTGCTGCTGCTGTTCTGAAGCAGCTGCTTCAGCAATGCGTTGTTCGAGTCATCAGAGGTGGAACGCTGGTTACTGTTACCTGTACCTGCCGCAGACGCAACGATTGTGCCTGTGCCTATGCCTGTGGCTATGGGGGTGGGCGTGGTTGTGCCCGTCACCGTAGGCGTGGATGTAGGGGGACCTGGAGCTGGGGCTGTGATGGCTGTCAGCGTAGTGTTGGAGTTCAGACGCTTCTCCGGCGTGACTAGGACTTCGCCGGGCTGCTCAGCTGGTGAAGCCGGAGGCGGAGCGGTGGGAGCATCCTTGACTATAGCCTCCTGCTTGGCCAGCAGATTGGTCTTGGGTTCGTTGCTCATCTCATCCAGCTTTGGGATTATAATCGAGAAGGGCAGTGTCTCTGACGCCGCCAGGTTTACACTCAATTTGGTGGGCGTGGTGGCTGGTGTGGTAACCACGCCCAACCCCAATCCCACCACGGTGGGAACCGACGTGAGCTTCAGCTGCATTGGAGCCGGCGACGACACTGACACTGAAACTACTGATGACGACGAGGGGGATGATTTTTCCGGATTCAGGTCCTGGTTGAGGGCGTGGTGCGTCTGCAGCGCGGAACTGCTGACGGTGGTGGTGATCATCTTGGGCTTCTGCTGGGCCATTGTCGTCTTGGAGAGCACCAGGGATATGTTCTTGTTCTGTATGGAGATGATGGGCCGGGCCCCCATCCCCGGAGTGTTAATGCAGATTGTCCCCGCCGTGGACTTGGCTACAGTCTCGTTGATTATGGCCGACACTGAGACGGATGAGGTGCTGCTGGTCATTTGGTCAGATCCGCTGCCGGAGGCGGATGGCGTCATTGTCATTGTGACAGGCACCGTACCGGTTGTCTGAATTATGGCGGCTGCGGCTGTCGCGCCCGCACCCGCTGGCACAGACTGCTGCTTGAAGATATTAAAGCTGGGCGAGCAGTTGTGACTGACCTTATCCAGGGGCTTTATCACGACGCTGTTGACGCTATTTCCAAACTCGTCGCTGGCTCCAGAGTCGTGCGATTTGGACTTGTTGAAGATGTTGTCGCTGTAGGTTATCTTGTGGCCAGCCAATCTGGTGGCCGGATTGCGACTAGAGTTGACATTGACCCCGACACCCGGCTCGTGCGTAGTGTCGACAATCTCGGAGGCGTCGTGCAGCTTTTCTTTAACCAAGGCGAATGTTTGGTTGGAATTCGTGGTGGTTATCGCCACAATGCTGGCCGTGGCGGGGGCCAGACTGCCGCTGTTCACCTGCTGTTGGGCCTGCTGCTGCACCTGCAACTGCTGGACCTGCTGCTGGAGCTGGTGCTGCTGCTGGATCTGCAGGGACATCTTTTTGCTGACCACCTTGGCGGCGACTATTTTGGTGTTGGCCGGCTTGATCTGAAGACCTGAGAAGGAAACGATTGTGGTGGGGTTTTTGGGCACGCGCTTGATCAGCTTTGTGTAGTTGAGGTGCTGGGAATGGTGCTGCGCCGCACTATGTTGCCCGGAGGGGGCAGCGCTGGTCACGGGTCCCCGACCGCCGGGTTGCATGATTTGCTTGCTTTCGACGATGGTGGCGCCACCAGCTGTAGCCGCGCCACTAGCACTCATTAGGAGCGGCACGGAGATCGTCTTGTTGCCGATGGAGACCTTGGCTGTCGTCTGGGTGACCTCGGAGAGCTTCTTCGCGTTCACCACCAGCTGGGTGCCCTTCATCTTGGATTGGATATTCACGCGGTTCAGCAGAGTGGGCTGGAGGCTTACTTGCTGCTGGCTACTTCCAGCCGTCGCACTAAATATATTGTAGTTAGCCTGTGAAGACTTCTGGTTCATTATAGTGCTCCCTCCCACGCCTGGTCCCGATCCGCCTCCATTGTTCGTATTCAGTATTATCGTAGACGTTGTGGATGAGGTGACAGTGACAGGGGTGACTGCGGATGTGGTCACCGCCGAACCGGCTGCGGTGTTGGAGGATGCTGATGCTGAGGCCGACACGATGGTTGAGTTTTCGGGCACCACCTTTTGTTCAGTTGCCGAGGACGCCAGTAGGGCGTAGTCCAACTCCTCAGCGGCAGGCAACACTGTCTTGTTGGCATGCTCGATATGCTCGGCTCCTCCACTCGGCTCGATCGAAATAGTGGAAGCCGTCGATGAGGAAGAAGATGCAGACGACGCACAGACGGTCTCCTTTTTGGTAAAGCTTGTAAAACCTGAAAGTGTTTGTTGGAACAATTGGTTACGTTACTCATCGATGCAAAGAGATGGTACGAGATGCAATTAAATAGGTAGGCTAGACTAGCCTCATACTCACTCTGCTTTTGGCCACCCTCGAGCGCTTCTTCAGGCTTGATTGAGGCACTCATTTCAGCGTTAGCACCAAAGTTACATACTATAATCTGATCCTCGCGCGGATCCCAGGCATTCTCGGTGCCACCTTGATCCACTTGTTGGTGCTTATATCGCTCAACTGTAGACTTTTCGGAGGCAGTAGATATTTGTTTTGAGGCGGCAGCTGCAGCTGTTGCTTGGAATGCCAATGACGGTGCTTGGACGGAGCCTCCTAGGACGACAGCACGTTGCTGTTGTCGGTGGTGCTGGTGATGTTTCTGTTGTAGCTGTTGTTGTTTGGCGGGCAAACTAGTCGAGGGCGGGCAAAGCAGCAATTCGGTTTTGAGTTTCTTGCGATTCGGATCCTCGGTATCGTCGATGCTGGTGCGCTTCTGTATATTGATTGCATTCAAATTTAGTGCTGTGGTTGCAGATGTTACACGTTCGGGTTTTGCCTTTTCGGCGGCAGCAGCCGCAGCAGCAAGCGATGTTGTCACTTTCGATATATTCATAACAAACAAGTGGACACTGGACAGAGTCAGTCGCTAGCAATGAATGCTGGATCAGCTTGAATTTCGTGTTAAATACATACAGAAAATCTTTTAAAACATGCACTATTTGGACAAATTATTTTCGTGTATGCAGTAGCAGTAGAGGTGTCAAACCATCGAGGGCACTATCGATAGTATCGATATTTTACTGCTAGCCTCTACTATCGACAGTTTTGCGACTATCATGATAGTATCGAGCTACAGTCGTTGCGCTTTTGATATGTTTGGATTGACTCCTATAAAATACGAAGACACATTTGTAGACAAATCGACAGGTGGTATGTAAGTTTTACAATGGACAAGTTCCTAAAAGGTTTCAATGGTTTTTTAATAATTATTTGAGCCCGATACTATTACGATAGTATTGATTGTTTTTTTCAAAACATTCAAAGTTGATATTCCCCGATTTTGATATTCGGTTTATTATTACTAGCTAGCTGTGACTCTCAGCCCTAAACAAATAATTTAATCCGATAGATACATAAATTTTCTACAAGATTGTCAAGTTTTCAGAAGTCTTTTTCATTGCATTATTTACATATTAAGGTTCAAACAAAAACAACATAAAACGAATGTGACGTCGTTTTGTGGCGTTGCCAGACTCATGCAATTCGTAGTTGCTGCGGGCTGCCATACCATGATATTTTGTGATATGAAATTCGTCAATTTTGATATTCAGTTTAATATTACTAGATAGTTGGCCCTCTCAGCCCTACAAAAAATAATTTTATCCAATTCCTCAATGAATTTTGTTTAGGATTGGCTAGTTTTCAGAACTATTTTTAATGGGATTGTTTAGATAATAGGGTTCAAACAAAAACGGCCAAAGCATAAAACGTAAATGTTGATGGTCAACCAAGTTTCTTCTATGCGTATGGACTTTTGTATACCATATCTCCAGTAATTGATGTTAAATTTGTTGTGCCAAGCTCCATTGAAACATTAATAATGATTTTATCCTAGATTGACATGTTTTTTACCTACATTAATATTATTATGTTTTATGTTATATAAATATTTTTATCCCGATTCTGATATTATTATTGAAACCCGTGAGTTGCAAAATTTCGTTAATATCTTTAAAACAGAGACTGAGTAGTTACTGCATTAATTGGAGCCGGAAATTACAAACAATTTCTCAAGTCCATAATATCCATTTTCCCAAGGTATGCAGACTGTTGCCCATTCCGTGCCAAAGTTGCACACAATGCTGCCTCTTCATTTCCCCATGTTGCTGAATTTTTTCCCATACAAATCAAATATATCTACGGGAACGCGTAGGAATGACGCAACAATGAATCTAAGTTCAAAATAATCAGCACCAACCAACGAAAAAGGTTGAAATTTAGGTACAGTTTCAGTATTTATTGGTAAAAGGGAATTTATTTTCTTTCGTACGTGCGTGCGTCAAAAATTGGTCCTAGATAGGTTTTATATATTATTATATTATTTTAAGCTTGCTTAGGTTTTACATGTATTTGATAAACAATTGTTGGGTTTAAAAATGAGCCAAACCAAGCCCATTCTAGCGTTCCTGTTTTTAGAAAAATTTATTTATGTGATCAGAGAAAGTTAGGTATTGAAGTGGGATCTTGTTAAATTTGAGAATCGTACATTTATATTTATCTTGGGAGTCCGCCAATTTCATTTGGCCATATAGATCCACGCCAGACCCGACTTGCCTCCACTTAGCCAGACGGCCTATCATCAATAATAAATATTTTCTTTTTGTACCCAAAAAATACTTTTCGATATAAAATCCGTTACAAAAGTAACGGTTTACCTTACGCGTTTTCGACTTTCAGCCAATCAAATCGTTCGAAATTTTCTGTAAACATTTGAGGTGATTTTCTGTGCAAAGTCCAAAAAAATGTTCGCGCGACCATGAAACAAGAATATAGTGCCGAATATTTTTCACAAGTCCGCTGAGTACCAAAAAATGATCCATTGATAATTTTTTAAATCATAAAATTAAATTCACACGATGAAGTAGACTCATTGTTGCCTCGGGTCTCGTAAGATACGTGTGGCTAACATCACGAAAAAGGGGAAAGTCAAAACAAAAGAGCTCTCTTCACCTCGGAAAAGAGGGCAAATTTTGAATGCCCACCACGAATTGAGAGCGAAAAATGTGCGCTAAATGAGTTTGGCAGTCATTTTCAAATGTATATATGTATATGGAAAAATAAATAGCTCACTTGATTTGTTTTGTCGAGTGTGACTGGAACCTCAGAAACCTCTGAAACCGAGAAAAAAAAGGCTTCCCCCCCCCTTTTTTTTTTGTTGGTTGCCCCCAAAAAAAAAAAAAAAAAAAAAAATTAATTTTTTTTTCCCCCCTTTTTTTTTTTTTTTTTTTTTTTTTTTTTTTTTTTTCTCCCCCCTTCTTTTTTTTTTTCTTTTCCCCCCCCCCCTTTTTTTTTTTTTTTTTCGCCTTTTCCCCCCCCCCCGGGGGGGGCGGTTGTCTTTTTTTTTTTTTTTTTTTTTTTTTTTTTTTTTTTTTTTTTTTTTTTCCCCCCAGACAACCTCTGACAAAAACCGAGAAAAAATAAATAGCTTAACCCCGACTCTATTTAATCAGGTTAGTAACCAGTAAATATCAACAAAAAAATAATTAATTATTTGAGCCCGATACTATCAGTAGCAGTGTAAAGCTCCTAGTACTCAGATCGAAAAAAACACCTCGCGAACAGAATCAGGGTTGATATTCGTATGAGACCGATAAGAAATGTTTTACGGCAAAAACTGTTTTCTAGGCTCTGTACTAACTAGGCACTAACCATACAGTATATAGATGTTCCAGTTCATACAACGAAAGTGTCGCAGTCGAGTTTTCTGTACCAGCTCCCAGGGCCTTCGGCTCTGTGAGGCTGAGACATTCGGGTCGGGAGCCAGGCCATTCGGGTCAGGAGGTGGGCCGTTCGGCATGTATGACTCATGGCGGGAAGCGAAAGCAAGCTGAGCATTGCAAATTTATGTGTGCAAACCAGTCTTATTTTCCGAAACCGTTTTGAGTTTCGTTTGCAGGCTACGTAAATGTGTGTGTTCCATGTATTCACACAAATGTTTTCAAAACATTTTTTCTTCACGGTGTCCGGCACGGGAGGCGTCGCCATCTGCTGCTTCTGATAGTCAAACACATTACCTTGCCAATAAAATATTGGGGAGCCCAGGATTTGGCTGGGGAAGAGCGGCCCCAGCCGAAGAAGTGCATTTTATTAACTTTAAACAAAACCAAGCAGCTGTCTGAGCAGAGTAACCGTTCGGAATGCAGTGCACACCTCTGGTCACACACTGGCTGCTCGAAGAATATATGACATTCGTTTGCTGGCAAACAGTTTTTCGATCTGAGTACTAGGCTTATCCTAAACTTTTAGCTAGTCTCAATATGGATAAAAATAATTAAACAGTTTAGAGCTTCAAATTAAAATGAAATTAATGTTACTAACAAAAAAATCAAAACTTGTTTTTCGAACATACAAATTTAATAAATATATGTATGTACAAACCTGCTAACTCTGATTATGCTCGGCCATTGTTTGTTCGTTTTTTGGATTTCAAAAACAAATCAATAAAATAGGAAAGACTGCCTCCCGTCCGACTTCATAAAAACAAAAATTTTAAAATATTTTCGTAGAAAAACAATATAAGATCCGCACGGAGACAGTCTGGCAACGCTTGTCTGAAACGAGAATTTTAGGTCAGCTGAACATTAAATTAACTCTCACAAAATGGGGCTTGTGGTGTAATGACATATGACATAAGCCTTAATAGCCATATGACATTAGACTTAGAAAATTTTGCTGCGGAGAGAGGGATATCACTAGAGACAAAATGCAACATTATTGTTCGTAGCCGTCTCTAGACACGTCTAATAGCTTTTAGTAGAACAACTGAGGCACTACTTGACACACAATAATGTTTTCCAGCGGAACACATCCGCAAAGTAAAATTTTCGATAAATGGGAGCAACGCTTCGTACAGCGACGTTTTACTTTGCAGATACAATTTTGCTGGCTTGGTGGCTGTGTTTAGTTGGAAAACATAATTTTCAGGCAGGCTCCGGTTTTCACTTTCACAAAAAAATGTGATTTACTTTTCAAAACGAAAAGTGAGGCGCTCCCGAACTCGTAAAACGCAAGACTATTCCGTTTTCAAAACGGCAACCAATTCCGCGCCGAAATGAAATTAAACAGCTTTTTATACAACTAAACAAATCTTAATTGCAAAAGGAAAAAAATAGATGACTTAATAATGCATTGACATGAATTTGACATCATTATCAGTGCAATTGAGCTTGTGCCCTTTTTATAAATTTGGCGTTTAACAGTACAAAGAGTAAACAAATTCACGAAAGTGGATTCCAGAGTGCCTTGAAATAAAAAGAATGGCTTTTTGCATTAAAGTAAAACGCAAAGTAAATGTGAAAACCGGAGCCTGCCTGTTTGTCTCAAGTAGTGCCTCAGTTGTTCGACTGAAAGAGACGGCTTTGAACATTAATTTAGCATTTTGTCTCTCATGCTACCTCTCTCTTCGAAGCAAAATCGAATGTCATAGCACCATTAAGAATATCGGATATTTAGTTTAAGAGATAACAGCATCTTTTTTTCTAGTAATAGTCATATGACATTAGATTTATAGCCTTTTTACACTGGGCGCGTCTGCTATCGATATCGGCATAGACGCAATGAAGCAGAAAAGGCGTTTACATTGGAAGACGTGCGTCTTGAATTTGGATTTGGGTGTTTGATGACAAGGAAAGATACACAAATTTTTGAAAATCAACAGAATTAAGCAAGACGTCAGGAAAATGGACGAAAAAGAATTGATTCTCATATTTAAATATTATTTTCAGACATTTCATTGTAGAGTTTGTGGGAGTTCTTCTTCCAATTATGAAAACCACCGAAGTTCGTCTCCAGCAGTGTCATAATGGCATCAGGGTATCACAAAAATGTCGTATGATAATAATACAATCAGTTTCAAGTATTTTATTTCATGATTTTATGTATATTTTCACCTCTTTGCACAACCATTCATTTTAGCGCCAAAATTTGATTTTTTAACTACAAGTTTTTGTTGTTCTTAGAGGTGATAGTTGCGCTGATAGGCAGAAAAGTGCAAAAATGTGCAGTTAAGCGCAAAAGCAATCGAATATATCGAATAGACGCACATGAATCAGAGACCGACGCAACTTTTTGCCACCACTAGGGCCCTATGCTTAACCTATGTAAAAAAAACTGCGTCTTCGCCAAGACGCAAAGAAGCATGACGCAGCCCCAGTGTAAACGGCCTATTAGACAATTTTGCTGCGTTCTAGCTCGTTCTCCTCCGCCAGATGGCGCACACTGCACAAGGCAGAGTGTGTGTGAGAGAGAGAGAGAGAGAGAGAGAGAGAACGAGTAGCGCGAGGAAGCAAATTAATTTCTTCATTCTGGCTATAGTCATGATTCTATCTATTCTGCGCTTTCAGTTTTTATTTATCATTAAAATTGTGGTTGCCACAGATTTTCATTCGTTCTAATTATACCCGTACTCAAAGAGTTAAAGGGTTTATTAGATTTGTGGTAAAAGTGGATATGTCTAACGCAGAGAACGCAGGAAACGTTTCCGACCCCATAAAGTATACATATTCTTTATCAGCCTCAATAGCCGAGTCTATGTCTGTCTGTCTGTCTGTCCGTCCATCCGCCTTGTTTGACGCCTAGTTCTCAGAGACTAAGGGCTAGAGCAACCAAATTTTGTTTCCGGACTCATGTGATATCACACTGAATCAAGTTTGTTTAAAAATTTTGACACGCCCCTTAACGCCCCCGCAAAAGACGAAAATCCGTGACATCCACAATTTATAAGATACTAGAAAACCAAAAACACATAATCGTAGAAAAGTACCATATCTACCAGACTGTCGAGTCTGGATCAGATCGGATCAATATTATAGCCAAAATAAAGAAATTATTTTTCAGTTGCTTCCCCCACCACCTCCAGCAAGAGACCGCGATACTCATTCTTTTCTCGCTCGCACACACTATTCCTGTGCAGTGCGCGACCTTTGCGGAGAATCTACCTTATAGATGTATAATCTAAATTTTAGATGTTTAATCGAAAGCTTAATATCTTTCAGGCGTTAAGCTGCAGATACAAAGGGTCTGGGTCGCATTTATAGCTGCGTTTGTCAGTTTTTCAGAACTGCAAAATTCTATGCAACCAGATATAAGAAACTAAAGTTATGTGAAAAATAGAAGAACTACCTATAAAAAAAACCAGGAAAAAATTACCAGATTTTAAAAATTCTTTAAAAAAAAATGACACCATAAAAAAAATAATAAAGTACTACAAAAATTTTGTAATCCCGATATCTATCAGAAAAAGTCATTTTGGTTCACAGCCTAAATCAAAAGTTCAATTTTGTCGAGTAGTGTAATTGAAGTACTAGCCCCGCGCGCAAGTACCGGGTATGAATATAGCATGTAACGGGATTACAAGAAATCCTGATATTCATATAAATACATACATATGTACATATTTATGTTCGTTTAAAGGACACCACGAGTATCTTTTCAACTTGTTGGAGATGAACAATGCACAATGAACATTTAAAAAAAAACTTGGGAAAGCAAAATTGAGAAATGCTTGTCATCCCAGGCTCCAATGAACTCAGAAACTAGCAGTTTATGTCTTAAAGGACCAAGAATATGGATTGGGATCGATATTCATGATGCATTAATCGGCTAAATTTATATATTAAATGCTGAAAGTCTAATCTAGCTAGAAATATCACAATCGTGGAATATGATTTCCGATTAAAAAAAAACGTTAGCCCATTGTCGACCAGGCTGTACATAAGCCTTGGTCATTCAAATTTACATATGTAAATCTTGATAAAACTTGATAGATTTATTGCCGTTCAGATGAAAGATACCTCGTGTAGTGGAGGAGAGCGAACTAGAATAGCCTGTTGCTGTGAGAGAGAGATAGATGTATCGAAATTAAAAACAATAGCAATGTTTTAATCTATTCATTTGGTATATTTCTGTAGGTCAGACGGTATATTGTATCGATAAATTTATGGTCACACTGCAGCACGTTCTTTTTAGACAAATTGATTAATTTAATTAAAAATAAGCAATGTGGAGCGTGAAAACAATCACACAGCTATTCAAGGCGAGTCTGTCAAGTAAGAGCATTTCATTAGAGCTGAACTTGTGTCACTTATGCATACAATCTTTCGAAATTTCAGCAGGCAAGTTCGCAGCCATCAACACAGCCGGCCTCAAGTATTTTGCTCCTCCAATCAAATATCAAAGTAGGTGCATCTTAACTCTTAGAGAAAGAAGCAAGAGCTCATTTACTTTTCAACAGATGTTCAGCAGCCAGAACGCCCCAAACTGCGGATAATGGAGCGCATGCCGCAGCTGCCACCTAACCTACGTCCACCCAAAATGCAGAAGCGCTTGCGCTACATGCGTGGCCCAGAACTTGTCCACAACACTCTTCTCCACAAGCAGTATGCGATCATAGCCACTGGCGGCGGTCGCCTGCGATGGGGTCACTATGAGATGATGCGTCTTACCATCGGTCGGAAGATGAACGTCCAAACGATGTTTGCTACGTGGCGAGTGCCCGCCCCCTGGCAACCCATAACAAAGAAAGGGCAGGGCCAGCGCATGGGAGGCGGCAAGGGTGCCATCGATCATTATGTAACGCCCATTAGGGCAGGTCGTGTCATCGTCGAAATAGCCGGAAAATGCGAGTTTGTCGAGGTAAAGGGATTCCTGCAGCAAGTCGCCAACCAGCTGCCCTTCCAAGCGACTGTCGTCTCTCAGGCGATGCTCGACGAGATGCTGGCCGACGAGGAGCAGCACGCACGCGGAAACCAAAACCCATTCACCATGAAATACGTCATCCAAAACAATCTGAATGGCTGCCATCGGTGGCTTTCTCCCGTAGATCACAAGTGGTTTGGCAAGCACTTGTAGATCGATTTAACCCTCATTAACTCTTATCCCGTTATGTACCCGCAATAAACAAACTATTGGTTGTTAAGTTTTTATACCCACATGTGTATGTACGTGCGTGTGTGTCTATCTGCCATTGCTGGGCAGATCTGCCATCCCCGCACCGATTTGAAAAAAACTAGAGAAAGAATGTGGAAGATTTTGGGGAAATGTACGAGTTCTATTGCAAACATTTGTTTAATTTTCCATTTCATTTATGAGGATAATATGTAATGCAGCATATAATATTTTTTATGTTTCATGACGTTGCAGTTGTATTATTATTAATATATATGTTTATGTATGTATGTGTGTGGGTGTGTGGTAATAGCCTTCTTCCACTGGACCATCGCATCTCGGAGCCGCTCGGGGTCGTAAGCCTGCCCATGCTTACGGACCAGGGGAAGTGGACAATAAATGTGTTTGGAATTCGAATGGATCGACTTTTAGCTCGTCGTCTAACAGTCGGTATCGTACCAGGCAGCCAAGTTATTGTTGTCGTTGGGTGGCGTCGGCATGGCATCCAAGTCGAAGTTCAATGCACCGGCATCGATCTCGCCGACGTCCATGTCCATGGAATAGGGCGATGTTGGTGCCCCGCTGGGTGGGACGACAGCACCGCTGCCGGCGCTAGCACTGTTGACACCTCCGCTATTGCCAGCAGCGCCGCCACCGCCCACCGGGCTGCTGATCTCCAGACCCTGCATCGAATCTATTGGTAGAGTATCATATCCTGCGAACAAACGATAGAGCGATAGGGAGAGATAGAGAAAACATACTGAAGTTATATTAATGCGCTTGCCCCCTACAAGGATCCTCCCATAGACTATTAGCTAAACGTCGTAAAAATAAAGTAAACACACAATTCAGCCGTTCCTTAATCATTTCCCACCAAGTGGCTTCAACTACAGCAGCAATTCCCATTCGTTTTGAGCATAGACACATCTGCATGCACATCGCTCTTACATATAAATTAAAGATTATATATGCATACAAAAAATACGTGTTTAGATATGTACATACATATGTATATATGAGTATATAGCTAATTCCATACGGTTATTTCGGTCTACTTAACATGCAAAATGAACCAGACTGAACCGAACTAAAGAGTGATTTTCTGCTCGCACCGTCATTACGCTGCATATTGAATATTCCAATGAAAACGAACTCAAGAAATGTAAGTTAATCAAGGGCAAAGGAAAATACATTTAAAAGTAATAGTACAAATAGGTTATCCTTCCTCAGTCAACCAATAGCCGTTTTATCGCACCTAGAATCCATGGAAAATGTAGGAAAAGGAGCGGAGAAAAATATGAAAGTGTTCCTAGTGCGAAGATCTTCTTGTAGTTACGAAACAAACATGCCAAATCCTTTCAAGGTCGAATTGCCAAGTAGTTGTGTGTTGTTGGTTGGTGTTTGTGCGTACATATGTATGTATGTACCTAAGTGCGTGTATGATGCCGAACATATGCATTTGAGTATGTATGAAATATGCAAATGTCCGGTTTACATGGGCATGGCCTTATTTATGCCTTAAGTTGATAATCGTTTTCTAATCGAAATCTGAAAGAACGATGCATGTATAAGCGAAACTCTGAATCTATGCAAATCAGATTCTACCTCGTTGAAACAATTATTTAAGCTGGTTTTGCTTGGAACTACAGTGAGGGGTCGAGAGACCTGGTCTGGCCAAGTACGGCGTTAACGGACAGAGAAAGGGTCAGAAAGAAACAAGACGGAAATTCAATGATGGATTGAAAGAATTCATGATTTAATGGTACATCGCCATATTGGATTTGAAAATCAGATTGAAGAACTGCAAGGCAAAAGGGGGCAGGGCAATACACGGGAACGGACACAAACCAAAGATATTTCCATCGCATTCAGCGATTGACTGAGTGGGGGACGAGAGAAATTAGCAGGGGGCGGATGGAGATCTCGCTGGATAATAATTAAGGAATATTCAAAGGTTGAAATGAACTTAACTTTAGCTTTGATTATTCATATGTTATAATTTAGTTTATTTGATGAACAGACACGATTACGAATAAATGTACATATGCAAGAATGCATGTGTGGGCAGGGGTAAGGGCTAAGGGCTAAGGGCGGAGGTGGAGGCAGTGATCGAATGAACTTGATCTGCTTGCTTGGGTAGGGTGTTCGAACACTTTTTAATAATTCTTCTTCATTTTGATGCGGGGGTGACACAAAAGGATTTGGGCGGGTGCATCTCGGAACGGTGTTTCCTTATGCGTATGACATACATACCTTGCTGATGGAATGCGCGACCTCCGTGCGAACTGTGCACACTGGGCGGACCTTGTCCGTAAAGGCCCTCATATGCTTCTTCGGGTCCAAGCATATCCTGTGATCAATCGATTTCGTGTTTTTTGTTGTTGTTGTCAAAGTTTGGTTCGGTGTGTAGTTGTGCGTATGTGTGTATGTGTGTATTGCGGTTGTTTGTACGTGGGCGTGGGTGTGCGTGTGTGAGTGATGTATTTATTTTTTCAGTTGGTTTTTGTTGTTGGGATGGATCAGAAGTGAAAAGTTGTTAGGAAAGAAGAAGACACAGACACAAGTTTGTGTTCAGCGAGAGTGGTAGAGGGGAAGGGCGAGACACGTGGTTGTAGACAGTTAGTTGTTGTTCATGTTTTGGGTGTTGGTAGTGGTGGTGGTGGTGCCGGTAGTGGTGGTGGTGATGGTGATGGTGCAGTGATTCGTCGGTTGTTTCATGTTTTACCGTTGCAGTTGTGTGTATTTTTTGTTTGTTTGTGGTTGTTGTTGTTGTGAGTGAATTGTTTTCGTGTAGTTTGTTTGGGTTTTTGTTTTGGTATTGGTTTTTACAAGTAAACATAAAGGAAAAGAACAAAAAGTAAATAAAAAAATGTGAATTAATTACAAAATCATAATTAACACAAACGAATTTCAACTAAATCTGTTTTCTAGGTGAAAAATGTATTTTAAATTTATATGTATGTACACTTATGATTCGAGACGATTGATAGGAAGGAAGGAGTTGTAGTTGGGCAGAGCTGAGGGGATAAATACGGATTCTCGATATCGATTGCCGTCTACAGACAAATGCTTTTTCTACCTACTTATCGACTAACATGTATCGATCTATCGACTCTCGAAATACAGTAAAAAAAAAACAGAATAATTTGAATTCAAACGCATTGAAATTGAAATCTAAAGCAAGTCCAAGGAATATCGATAATATTGGTCGCTACTTATACGACCAAGAGTATATACGTATACGTAATGCTGGAATAGTTTAAATTTCTACAATTTTACAGTTTTATGTACAGAGTTCGCTTCGGCGCGGACGTGTAGGGGAAACAAAGAAGCAGAGTAAAGAAATGAAAACCCAATGGAATAACCCAGGCAAGGTACACCTGGTGGAAATTGGCTACAGGTACAAGGTACCAGGCTGGCCTCACTTAGACTAGTTTCCACGCACCTGCAGATCCGGACCCATACCCAAATCAGCATTGGCCCAAATGTTGTTGTCCTCTCGCAGCAGAGAATTGGTCAGCTCAATAGAGAGACGCTTCTTGTAGTCCTGAGGCTTGTCCTCACTCATGCGGAAGAGCACTGCGGCGGCGTACGTGGCCACGCCCTCGTTGCGGGAGTGCAGCAAATCAGTGAGCGGGCCGGTTGCCCCCTCCTGTTCTATGATCTCGGCACCTTCCTTGTCCGCGGCTAGCTCGCAGAGAACGCCGGCAGCCACGCGCTATGAATAGACAAGGGGACATTTTATATTAGTGAGCAAATCGCGGGGAATTCTTAGCTAGCTTACCTGTATGTTCTCGATTTCGTTGAAGAGCAAGCGCACAAAGATCGGGATCACCGACTGCTGGCGTATGAGGGCGCGATTGTGCGATTCCCGAGCCAGGATGTGCAGGGCCCCCACCGTGCCCTCGACAATTTCCTCCATGCGAACGCCGTCGGCGTAGGCAGACGGCTGCTGTGAGCCTGTGGTGGCAATCGATGAGCGTTGCTGCAGAAAGAGAAGGGTCAGTACCAGTACTAGACGGGTCAAGGACTGTGATCAGGTGGGGGCCGAGGGCAGGATCTTACCCTCTCTGTGTCCTGGAAGGCGCGCATCAACAGGCGCACCAAGTGATGGATTGCGCCGTGCTCCCGCAATGGGGCATGGTTGGCCGGACAGAGGGCCAAGTTACGAATGAGCCCAATAACGGCCTTGATAAGTGGCCACCGTGATGGAGGATGGAGCAACTTCACAATCACCGACAGCCCGTAGTTGAGACGGACCGCGTTCTGCGCCAGCTCCGAGTCGACGTGGCGCGAAGTGAGGTGGCGCAAGGCGCACACAGCTGGCTCGGTGATCTCCTCGCGATCGCCGGCATTGATGATAGTGCGAACAAGGGCGTCGACCCCGCCCACCTGGCAGACAGTGGCCTTGTTGCGCTGATTGTTGCACGTCAGATTCGAGAGGATGCCAGCGGCACAGGTGACCACGTTGACATCGGTGGAGCCGAGAACCTGGACCAAGGACTGCAAAAGGGCCTCTAGTCCCTCCACCTTAGTGGCCGCATCCGAAAGATTGCGCAGAGTCCACAGACAGTTCTGGACGAGACGAGGCGACATGTTGCCCAGGTGCATGGCCAGGGCCTGCATGCCACCGGCGTCCACGATAGCCGGCTTATTGCTCGAGCACACCGAAAGCACCTTGAGAACGCGTGATGTGGTCCAAAGGAGCTTCTCATAGTCATAGGAGCGCATAATGCGCACCAGTTCGTTGGGTCCGCCTGAAGCAAGAATAATTAGCTTGCTCTCCTGGTTGCCGTAGGCCAGGATCTGCAGACAGTCGGTGACGATGGCCAAAAACTTAACGTTGTTTCTCTGAAGCAAGGTGACCATTTTCTGGAGGCCACCTGCCAGGCGCACGGCCATTTTGGAGCCATCCTGATGGAGCAGCAGGTTATGCAGCGTGGTGATCGCGTAGAAGAGCACGCTCTCGACGGGCGACGATAGCAGCTTGACAAGGGCCGGGATGCCGCCGCTCTTGAAGATGGCCAGGAGACCCT